CCGCTGTAGCCTGTGTCTGTGGGTTATGGACGCGGGCACGCAAGCTCTGTGGTTGAGCTCTTTGAACGTGAGTGTGGCAGTGTCTTCGACGTACCCTGAGGTCACCCGGGGGCTCCTGGGTGGAGGCGTTGGGCAGCCCCTGTGCATCCGTGGCGTTCACCATGGCGACCATGGTGAGGCTCAGACACGCTCGCTGTGACATCATAGAGACGTTGCAGAAGTGCAGGAGCAGCGCCAGCCCGCAGCGGAGGGAGCAGCACCCTGGGGCCGGGAAGCAGGACAAGAATCACCGACCGTTAGCGCGGCTGAGGCAAAGCAAAACAAAGCACGCTTTTAACGTCAGCGAGGGCCCCTCAGAAATGTGGGAGCCAAGTATTGTGTTGAAATTTTATTGTATGGATTGGCCTTTGAGAAATTATGATACAATAGGAAGATGTGAGACTGATGTAATAACCCCCCCCCCATATATAATCCCATCTAGACTGCATTTACAGAACGTAATGTGCTTGAGCTAGTTTGAAGCCGGAGCAATCGGTGTCGTGTTGGTGGAAAGCCAAACAAATGCATCAGTGGCAGAAGGTAGGGAGTCCAGGAGCAGAGGCACAAATAAGCTTTTGAATAAATGCACTAATGCAGTTCAGTGGAGGAAAGTAAAGTCTTGTCAACAAATGGCAATTTGCCAAGAGAAATAAAAACATATGTTTATAAAAAGACTTGTACTAAAATGTTTATAGTAACTTTACTCAAAATGGGTGGCTGCTTGGGGCAAGTGAACCTACTGTGGCATGTTAATACAGTTTATTTCCGGATATTACTCGGAAATAAAAAGGGGGGAGGCACTGCATCACTCAGCAACCTGGACGAATCTCAGCAAAAACGACTCCTAGGTAAATCTCAAGTTAAAAAGGAAACCTCGAGGGGAATTCTGGGGGCTGAGTAGTGAACTCATAGACGGTTAGAGCAAAACGTATAACCCTAAATATATTTATCAGAAAAGGAGAGAAACCAAGGACCTGGAAAATTAACAAAGGAACAAACCCACAGAACCTAAAGGAAGAACATGCTGAGCATAAAGACAGAAATTGATGATATAAACACATAATTTCATGTTTATTGGCTTTATATGTTGGTATGTTTTACGTGCTCATATATAAATTTGAACAAAGGCAAAGCGGACCATCTAAAAATACCAAAGTTGATACGAGAAGAAATATAAAATTTAATGGCCCGCTAACCTGTATACAAATGGAAATCCCACAGGTCACCGCCCTCCCCCTCTTCTGGGAGTTTGTCCCTCGCGACGTGGACCCGACTCTAAGCCAACAGACTAATTCCTCGTGGTCCCCCCGGCCCTGCTCAAGATAAGCAGTTGTCTAGAAGAGATCTTTGGTGAACATTCAGCTGTTGACGTCTGAGATTCGGTGACTCGGGGACATGGTCCTGCCTCAGTCCCACCGTGGATCCCTTGAGGCGGAACAGAGTCATCCCACCTCCTTCCGAGACTCTGCCAAGCGATGCTCGGTCGAGTGCACACGGGTCACTAATGGACGTGCCAACTACCAGGGTCCCTGGACTCTTTTTATTTAAGGGTTTCTAACGGATGACCGTGGCAGGACTGGCTTTTCCACCTCCTTTCCTGAACATTTCTAAGACCCGGTATATGTTTTTATGGAACAATCTTCTCACCTGGCCCTGGCCAGTGCTGCTCAGTGGTTTAAAGTGTCGGCCTGACCACCGAAGGGTCTTGGACTCAATTCCGGTCAAGGGTCTGTACCTGGGTTGCAGGTTCGATCCCCGGCCCAGGTCAGGTCACATGCAAGAGGCAACCGGTCAGTGTGTCTCTCACCAGTGTTTCTCTCCCTCCCTCCCTCCCTCCGTCCCTTCCTTCCATGCTCTCTGAAATCAGTGGGATGACATCCTCCAGTGAGGATTAACAAACAAAACACAGCACTCCTCTCACCTGGGATCTACGGTGTCGTGTTTAAGATGGAGAAAGCCTACCTGAGGGGACAGAGAGAACCTCTACCTTTCCTGGGGGGGGACTGGTCATCCATGGGCTTCACGGCCGTCCGGTTCCTTCGCCTCCTGCTGAAGGGTTTGTTCTCTGTCCTCTGCAAGTTCAAAACGCGATGATGTCAGCAGGACACGGGAACTGGCCGCCCCCCGGGCTCCCCTCTGGTTGAAGGGACGCGTCAAAGGAAACGGACTCCGTCTGCCAGTCCCCACGCAATTCCACCCTGTGCTGCCTTTGACAGGTTACTTCTGCGGATGTTGTTTCTCATTGTTGTTGATTAAACCTATACCGGAAACCTGGTAACTATAGATGACAAACAGAAAAGCCCAGCCAAGCCGTGGTTCCACATCCCAGTGAGACTGTCCCTCGAAACTGAGAGAGAAACAGAGACCTCATCAAACCATCCGAGAGAGGGCTTCACGGCGAACTCGGAGGTGCCAAGGGAATGTCAGGAAGGAATGGAAGTAAAATAAATCCCTTTTTTCCTTAGGCACGAATAGAGCTGCGGGATCTGCTTATGAACGTTGCCCTCGCCGGGAGGGGCGCCCCCGACCCCGCAGAGCCGCTGCGCCAGGCCTGCGCTTGCTGGGGGCAGCTCAGCTACGTGGCGACGCCAGAGCTCAGCACCGTCCTGCGCTGGCCACGCCCTGGTCTGCGCCTCGAGAGGCGGCCAGTCGGCCTCGGCCACACCAGATGCCCAAAGACAGAATCCCTGAGACGGGATTTGCAAAGTGTTTTTAAATGAGCAGTTTTTAGTCACCATCGCCGCACACAGGACCATCTTCTGGGACTGCTGTTGATTTCAACACACACACACCACACGCAGACACACACAAGACACACACACCACACCACACACGACACACAACACACACTTCTCTTTCCTTTTTGAGCCACAAAACTCTCTGCCTCAAACTCATCCCTGAAAATATTTATTTTTTTCTTTCCCTTGTGGAAAAACCTGTGAAAATGGATTTTTTTCAGCAAAGTGTCCCCAGGTTGCGAAATACCTCTGACCCGACGCCGCACGGAGAAGGCCCCCTTCTCCCGGTGGTTTCACGCGTGAGCGGCGTGTGAGCTCGGCCGCCTGGTCCAGGATGGGCAGTGCTTCCTGCCTCCTCGTGAAGGTTTTCCTCCCAACTTTAAAATACATTGAATTTCTGGACTCACCAATTTTAGCCCTGTAAATCCTTCACCAGGTCCTTTGACCTCATGATGTCAAAGCTAACATTTAATTTTTAACTTTACTTTCACCTTTGCCTCGAATCTCCAGGGGAACTGGAGTGTGAGTCTTAAAATCATGCCGTGGCCAGGAGCTTCGTGACCACGACGGGCCCGTCTCCCTCCCTGCCGTGGCTTTCTACCTGCCCGTAGCGCCCTGCCTGCCTCCTCCCTCCGTCAGACGCTTTGTAATTATCCTGAATTTCTTTCCCTCACGTCCTCCCTCCGATCCATCTGGGGAGTGTCGTTCCGGCCTCTTCCAACCGGGGCCACGGCTCTCTGTGGGCCGACCTCTTCCACGGCCGAGCCTCTCCCGGCGTGGCCGACTTGGGGTTTTCCAACAGCGTCAGCTTGACTTCCTGCCTCCAGCCTGTTCTCAGGAAGGCAACGGGAACCCTCTGGTCAAAGCATGAGTCCGACCCCTCCCTCCTCCACTCGAAATCCTCTCCGCGGCTTTGCTTCTGTTCAGATGAAAAACTCAGGTCCCTGTAGTGGCCAATGGACAAGGTGTAATCTTTGCGTTTCTGTTTTTACTCTCTCGAGATGTGCTCACAAACGACGTAAGCGATGCTTTGCTACTTCTAAGCGTGTGTGCGCGCTCTCGCGGCGTGTGGGCCAATCTGTAAGTCCCCTTGGAAACGTGAATTTGGAGCACCCACGTGGGGCGCAGTGGAGGTGCCTCTTTCTCTTGCTCGGCTCCTATTTTCAAGCCTCTATGGCCTGTCGTCATGATCCCTTCAGGAAAGCTGCGTGATATTCTTTTAAGATGAGAGGAGAAACTAAAAAGAGATTTGCTCCATCTGCACTTTGGAAATGGAAGCCTGGCTAATGAACCCGTTACGCCGGGCCGGGGCCGGGAGGGGTATAACTGCCACCTTTCTGGGTAAAAGGTTTTCCCTGAGTCCTTTTTGAAGGACTCTGGACCCTGGGATAAATAATCAACAACTTCAGAGCTGAAATATCATGTGAGAGATTTCTAACGCTGAATTACTATCCAAGTCAGAAGATGCAGCTTGGTCTCACAATTTAATTTTTAACCTCACTCTGAAATGCTCATGGGCTGTTGGTTCCTGCGTCCTACTTGGTTTGACTTGGTAGAAATAGACTTGAGATGTCTCTGCGTTGGAAAAAAAAATCCAACATTGCTTCATCTCTATAATTAATTTCTAAACACTTAAATATAGATTGAAATATTTCCTTGCGTTAGATCATAATAGCCACCTTTTAAAAAAATTTTACGTTTTCCTTTGGAACGAGGTTGGTTTTTAGATTGCTGTGTTTTCGTGATGAGAATTGTTAGAGAAGACAGAGTGTCTGTTTCCCCTTTTCTTACTGTGATTCTGGCAAATCCTTTTTGTCTCCAAGTTCGAGTCAGACTCCCATTTGGTGCCACCTTCTCTGTGACCCGTGGGGTCAAGCTGGCCATCGAGCTCGCGCTGGAAACTGTCTCTATGGTGTTGCCTGTTACCTGCCTTTTCTGAGTAACGTGGTGTGTCTTTGGTTTATCTACACAACACGTTCAACTGTGAGCTAGGCGGCCACACTGCAAATTCTTGCTTTTTTTCCTTAGACATTTTTCTTGTGTACTTTCCAGTTTCAATGCCCGATTCCAGCAACCGCAGTACCGGGAGCGCCTGGCTAACCCGGGATCTTACACCCCTGAGGACAGCAGCCACGGAACAGGCAGAGGCGATTATCACCTCCTAGGAGGTGACCTTCAGGTAGAATAGGTAAAGGTGCGGAACTTAACCGTGAGATGTGAGCAGGACCGTGCGGGGCGCTGACTCTGCCTGCAGACGCTTTTAAGGGCTTCGGCGGGGCAGGTGGGGGCGGGGGGTTGTGTGG